AGAGAGTAGACAAAACATGCTTGAATACAAATCGTGAAATAACAACAACAAAAGCAACCACATGCTAGCAAATACAAATACTATATTCAAAACCAAATAAGGAAAAGATAAACAAACAACGAAGGGGTGGTGAGGGAGAGGGAAAAGACAGGCTGGCTGGCAGGAGGGGTACAAAACTTCCATGCCTAAATATACAAATGTATGTATGCATGTAGAATTTTTACTCTTAATGTATATGACATATGGGGGTTAAAGGATATTCCTTTCATCAAGTTCGAAGGAAATGAAATCGAAGTTTCCATACTGACCGAAATATGCTGATACTGGTAAGACCTGTAAGAAAATACATATCCCAAAAAGGGGGAGCGGGGAGAGTGAAATCATAATGTTGTTATATTTTTCTTCTCCCAAGGACCTTACCTGGTTTTCTTTTCCTCAACAAAAATGTTCCCTCATGTGTTTATGCCTAGCTGACATGAATATGCATGAACCTGCTGTATTAAGGCAATGACTCCAGGATATCTCTACAACCTGTTATGCAAATTTCGTACATCATCATCTCAGCACTTACTTAGTTATGCATATTGAAACCTTGTTGACTCCATTTCATTTCCCCCTTCCTCCCAGTTTTAGGAACATATTTTCAATATATGTTATAATATAACTAAGTTTGGAAGAAAATTTATCCTTGTGCAAAGGATACGATGTAAGGATTTGTTGTAGAAGTAACAAAAATTAAATTACTAGCAATTATTTTTCGATAGAGTTTTATTATTAAGAAAATTCGGAAAATAACTTTTCGTAATTAAAGGATCTTCAATGGGAGTTCCATTTTTCCATTAAGGATAATGAATTTAAAGTAAAATGGAAATACTGGAAATATTTGAAGGTAATGTAAATTATTTTGTGTGAATATGTAGACGTATAAGTGTGGTAGCACTTATACGCACCCATGGGCATTGCAATTAAAAATACTAATACGCACCCTAGGTCTTGCGAAATATTTTTTAAAATATTTCAAGCGCGAATTTTACGATAATTTTACTTGGTATAGCTATAGGCTTGGATTTTTTTAAAATATTTTTTTCAAGGAATATCCTTTTTTCAAATAATATACAAGGCGTAGATTTTTTTGAAATATATTTTTATGAGCTACACATGGCGTGGTTTTTTTTGAAAATATTTTTTCATCAGGTAATCAAGGCGAGGATTTTTTCAAAAATAAGTTTTAATGTGATACCCAAGGCGTTGATTTTTTAAAATATTTTTTCCTGACCTATCCAAGGCGTAGATTTGTATACCCGACACAACTATGTTGTCAGGGTATTATAGCTTTGTGCAGCCCCAAGAGTTGGTAACACTGCGAAATATTCGTCCTAGACCCACCTTTAAGTATACCGATCGTCATATCTCGACTAGCAGAGTCGATCTAGACATGTGTGTCCGTCCGTCCGTCTGTCCATTATAATTTGTGAACACAATACAGGCCACAGTTATGTACCAATCTTCACGAAATTTTGCATGTGGAATGGGTTCTGGTCAATGAAGACCCCTATTGTTTTTGGTAAAGATCGGATAATATTTAGGGGGTGAAATGGACCAAAAACTTTATTTTTGTCGGTTTTTCTGGCGGCTCCAGAGGTTGCAATTATAGCCCAAACATCCTGAAATTTTGCATGGAAAAGGGGATAGGGCCAAAGAATAAGCATGCCTGTTTTGATAAAGATCGGTCAATATTTAGCGGTTCAAATGGACCCTGACTTTTTGTGAAAAAACTACAAGATGTGTATTCTATGGCGTATATATTTACTCCTGAAGGACATAGAGCCGAAAATTTGATAGTATATACAAGAGGAGTGGATACCCTTTAAATTGATACCAATTATATTGTCGTATGTACTCGGATGTGGGAGTTACACTTACATACTTATAGGTGCTTGCGTATTCATATATTATTTAGTAACCCATTACCACACTAGATGGCGGAAATATAGCGCTGATCGTTTTGAAAATTTCCATGAGGATCCAGGTATGGTCAATGACAACGCCTATAATTTTCGGTGATGATCAAATAATAATATTGGCATGAAGTGTGCCGAAAACTTTTGTTTGTTTGTTTTTTTTTTTCGAGACGACCTATAGGCCACAATTATAAACCGAACATCACAACACACCACCCACGGTGAAGGGAATCTGGACAAGTAATTAGAGGGGCGGCTGTACTGAATATTAGTAATATTCGGAAAATATGTCATTGCAAGCAAGATGTGCTGTTAAACTCTAATCGGACAAGATGGTGCAATTATCAAGAAATATTGCCCAGGCTCGGAATAAAAATCCTTAGAAAGTTAGAGTTCGTAGTAGTTGAGTAGGGGCCGACCATACGATATACGCTTATTTTTGTAGGCTTTGAAGAAATATTTTTACCACACTAGAGGACGGAAATATAGCGCTGATCGCTTTGAAATGTTCCATGAGGTTCCAGTTATGGTCAAGTACAATGCCTGTAATTTTCGCTGATGATTAGATAATAATTTTCGGATGAAGTGGACCGAAAACAATTATAAGCGGAACATCACAACACAACCCACAGTAAAGGGAATATGGACAAGTTTTCTATTCCGAGCCTGGGTAATATTTCGTGAAAGTTGCACCCTCTTGCCTGCTTAGAGGTCAACATCATCTCTTCCTTACACTGATATATTTTTGCGAATTCGGAAAAATATGTCAGTGTAAGGAAGAGATGCTGTTGACCTCTAATCGGGCAAGAGGTGGCAACTTTCACGAAATATTACTCAGGCTCGGAATAAAAAATCAGCAGAAAGATAAAGTTATGTGGTAGTTGTGTAGTATATCGTATGGTCGACCGCGTCCGACAATACTGCTCCGCTCACTGGTTTAAAAATAGTTTTTCAAGGCCTAGAATAAGGCGTATATTTTTTAATTTTTATTTATTTTTATTTTAAAGCTCTTCTTATTAACATCGGGATATTGAGGCGTATACGTGTGTTTATAAATCATACGCCACACTATTTTTGCTATTAATAATACTTATACGCAATCGTGTCTCCCTATATTTTTATATTTCATTTAAAATTTAGCACATTCACCCTCATGATTTAAATAACATTTACCTGCAGCATTGCCTGCTCAAGGACCCGTCTTTTTCTCCCTAAGTATATTATTCTATTTTTTTTTAAATTTTAGATTTAATTAGAAAACACGTTTTCATAATGATATGAACATCTTGTCAATTTATGCTTGAATTAATTGTGTTGTGTAGAAACAAAAAATGAGCAGTGGATCGCAGGGCAAAGTTTCCAGTAATGGCCCAGAGGCTATGGAAAACAAGTTATACCAATAATAAAAAAAAAAATCCTATACAGGTTCTGCCACCACTATTTTAACTTTTATCAAGTGGAGTTTGGCCTCCCCGAAAAAAAGTTTCTTCTTCTGGTTGTTGTTGTTGTTGTTGCTGCTTGCTGTTCAAGGAGACTACATTAATTAATCATGCCTAACTTGGCAATTATTATTGAAGGGTAGGATGCAATTTTTTTTGAAAATAATACAAAACAACAACAAGAACAGCGAACACTGAACACTAACAACATCCACACATTGTGTACTGTGCTGTTGTGTGGAAATATAAGTATCGTCCTCCTTCTAAGCCATTAAGTGGTTACTCTCGGCCTACCTAGCTGCCTACCTGACTATTACAGTTTCCGCAAGAATGCCATGGTAGTTTCCCCCCAGGCTTTGCAGGCATAACAGCGGATCGTTGGCAGCATATCGCCAACACTCTTCTCGTGGTCCTCCCCTACTCCTCCTCCCTCTACAGCCTCCTCGTTCTCATGCTCCTCATCCATTATGGCCAATTCAATAGAAAACTGAAAACAAAACTACTAAAACAAAAAAAGTAGCTACCTAATGACAACAAGAACAAGAACACGAATAACAAAAACAACAACACCACCACCATTAACAACAACAACATTGGATTCTAGTCATTACCTTCAAGTTTAGATTTGTGTTGATATGAAAGTTGTTGTTGTTGTTGTTTGGTTTTTGTTCGCCTTTTTTCTGTTCAACATTGCGTTGGGGTTTTATACAATAAGTTCGGAAACAAGCCGTTCCAACGAACATAGAAAATTTTGTTGATGATGCATGGATAGGAATGCCCACGCCATTACAACACTTTGGAGAACTAGTCGAGGCAGGCCTCATGATAAAAAAAAACACATCGAAACAAAAAACCTACCTCAAAAGGGGTCTCCATGGCCCCCACACTGGTTCGCACCTACAGCAGATATCACTGCTTCATTTAACTAACCTGGAAGTTATTGAGCAGGGAAATCGGAAAGGAGGGCGACGATGATGTGTTTCGAGGTGGAGGCGTATAGAAAATGTTGCATTCATTCATTTTGTCAAGTGGCATCATCAGCATTCAACAATCTCGTCTCACTGCTTTACTGAATCATCATTATCAGCAGTAACAACAACAACAGCAGCAGCATCATCAGCCAGGTTGAGCTCGGATGGCTGATGTCTATACTAAACCCATAGATGATGACGATGATGATGAGCAGGATACTGTGTTCTAGTCCACAAGTCAACAGTGATGTTATACCACCTGAAGTGCTCCCACACATACCCGCTCCTACCAACCCTGCTTCCCTCCAACCTCCCTCTATTTACATTGAATACCCCAGAATGATGGCTGACTGGCCCAACCATGAATGGCAACTTGGTTGGTTGGCTGAATGGCTGGCTGACTGACTGACTGGTTGGTTGGCTGGTCCGTCGCTTGGTTTGGAATGTATGGAAATGTAATTGGTGCAAGTAGGTTTGAATACATTCTTGTAGTTCAACAATTTTTCTTAGCTCAGCAACTGTGTTGTAAGCTCCTGATGATGGCCCCTATAACATTTTTTTTGTTTTCAATTTTTTTACACAACATCCTTACATCCACCCCATGACCAGCCATCCCTCCTAGCTTAACTATGCTGAAACTACGTAACAACAACAACAACGACGATGAGGATGAGGAGCATAAAAAAATATTTCAAGAGGGTGAACAATTTTGTGTGCAAGTGTATGTGTGTGAGTGTACTTGCTGTGGCATGCTGTTGTTGTATTCTGAATGCTACTCCTGCTACTGCTGATTTTTTTCTCTTATTTTTTTTTAATTCATTCTCCCTTTTCAATTTAATTAAAAAATGTATACATATATAAACCAAATTAAAGTAATGAAATTTAATGTGCAACAACGACGACAACAACAGCAACAAAAAGTTGCTGTTAATTTGCATGAACATTTTCTGGGCCATATGTGGCAAGGCAGTGATGTGGTAGGTTACATACTGGTGAGGGGGATAACAGTCAGTTCGGAAATGATGGAAATATTTTTGAAAAAATATTCAAGTGTAATTCTGACTAACTCAGATAATGTAGATAATTTTTTATCCTATTTAGATAATGTAGATAAATGTTTATCTGTTTGTATTCCAGCAGATAATTTTATATACGATTAACTTTAATTAGTTATATCCTCAACAATCGGTATATAAATAATGTAGGCCTCTAAATTATCTATGCCCATAAAAGTTCTTAAATGTATTATCTACACCCTTAAAGTCCTAGATAAATTATATATGCCCTTAAAATCTCCCAGATAAATTATCTATGCTCCTTGACGACCCTAGATACATTATCTATACCCTTAAAAAATCTCCCAGATAAATGATATGCTTTTAAATAGTCCTAGATAAATAATATAGAACTTGAATGAATTATCAATGCAATTAAAAGTCCCTAGATAAATTATCTATAACCATAAAAGTCCCTAGATAAATTATTGTTGCCTTTAAAAGTCTCTAGATAAATTATATATGCCATTAGATCAATTATATATGGTTTTAAATAATCTTAGATAATTTATCTATACCTTCAAATCCTACGTAGAAAAATTATCTCCGCCTTTAAAGAAATATAATACAATTTTAAACCCCCTTAAATTAATTATCTAAGTCTATAAATCCCGCAAACCGTTTATATACGCCTTCAGAGTCCAATAGATAAATTATCTAGGTCTTTACTTTTTTTCTATGCCATTAAAAATGAAGTAGATAAATATACTTTAAAATCCTTCCATATAAATTATCAATGCCTCTAAATCCCGCAAACGAGTTATATAAGCGATCAGAATCTGATAGATAAATTATCTAGACTATAAATAATTTGTGTATGCTTTTAAAATCTCCTAGATAAATTATCTACGCCTTAAAGTAATTATTTATGCCATTGAAATTCCATAGATAAATTATCCACACCTTGATGTCATTAATTTTGCCTTTAAAAATCCATAGATAAATTATCTACGCCTCAAATAAGTTTTATATGTCTTTTTAACCACGTAGATAAATTATTTACCCTATAAATGAATTATAAACGCATTCAGAATCCGTTGGATAAATTATTTACACTTTAAATAATATTTCAATACCTTTAAAAATGTAGTAGATAAATTATCTAGGATTTTAATACATTTTCTGTGCCTCTAAAATAATCTAGATAAATTATGTAGGGTTTAAATACATGTTCTATGCCTTTAAAATACCATAGATAAATTATCTACACATTAAATAAATTGTTATATGACTTTAAAATACAGTAGATAAATTATCTATGTTTTAAATAATAGATAAATTATATACGTAATTATATATGTCTTTGAAAGCTCATAGATAAATTATCTAGCCTTAACACATTCTGTCTATTCCTTTAAAATGCCGTAGGTAAATTATCTAGGTTTTACACATTCTCTATACAAATAAAATGCCGTAGATAAATTATCTATTAGATATTTTATTCACGTCATTTAGATAACGTAAATAGTTTTTTTCACGTCTTCTAGATAACTTAGATAGATTATTTTCATCATGTAGATAATTTAGATATTATATCCATATTGTCTAGATAATGTAGATACTTTATCCACGTCATCTAGATAAATTATATGCTTATCCACATCATCTAAATAACGTAGGTACTTCTCACACGTCATCTACATGACGTAGATACTTAACAATATTATCTAGATAACGTATATATATTATCCACGTCATCTAGATAATGTAGATACTTTATCCGCAAAATCTAGTTAAAGTAAATACTTTATCCGCATCATCCAGATAATGTAAATACTTTATCCACATCATCTAGATAATGTAGGTACTTTGTCCACATCATGTAGATAATTTATCCACATAATCTAGATGATGTAGATACTTCTCGCACGTCATTTACATAACCTAGACAGTTTATCCACGTCATCTAGATATCTACATATTTTAGATGACGTAGATACCTTGTCCACGTCATCTAGATAATGTAGATACTTCATCCACATCATCTAGATAACGTAGATACTTTTCGCTTGTGATCTACATAACGTAGACAATTTATCCATAATATAACGTAGATACCTTTTTCATGTTGCCTAGATACCCTATATAATTTATCCACGTTATGCAGATAACGTAGATAATTTCTCCACGACGTTTGGATAAATTATCATTGTTATCTATAATATATACCAACTTTTAAATATCATCTACATAATACAGATAAATTATTTATTGATTTCCCTCGACAAAATTTACACTTTATCGACGTTATCTACAGAATCTGTTGACCTTATCCAAGCCTTACAGGTAACTTTAGATAATTTATCTGGACCATTTAGAAGACATATATATTTATTAAGCCTTCTATTTTACTTTTTGTGCATTTTTTTTAGATAATTTAGATAAATTCGCTTTCTTATCTAGATAACATAAATTACATTCAATATACATATATATTATTTATTTTCCGAATTTATTTATATAACTTTTCCTATATTATTTTAATGATATGGACATGTAATTTTTCTCCTCCAGATAACATAGATAAATTATCTAAACATAAGATACATTATTCATCCCATTAAAATAATCTATTCCCCCAAAATATGCACTTTCACACACACCCTTATCTGGAGCAATGACCTACTTCAAACCCCACCATGAATAAATTTTGTTGTATTTCCCATGAATAGAATTTTTGTTGTTGTTCCAAGCGCTCAAGTATCATCCGTTATCCTGCAGTGGCTCCATTCGTTCCTTGTTGTTGTTGCATATTTGTTGTATTGATACAAAAGTATATTAACCTAAACAACCGTTGGACCCCTTTATTTCCGAAGATGATGTGCAACGCAACCCATTGACAGGAACAGGAGCCCTCTGCGTATTTATTAAAATGCCTGCAACAATTTGTGTAACATGAAGTGGGAGGGAGGAGGAGTAGCAAGATAGGGACCAGGAGGATCAGGACGAAACTGAGTGGTGGTGGGAAAGGCTGCAGGGAATGTCGTTAAGGGCCACACACTTGATTGCGACAATATTTTCTATATTAACATTTTGTTACTACTGGGGATTTTTTTTTCTTCTTCGAATGCCTGACTACAGTTTGAAGAGCCGGGTTTGAATGCCTGGTTCGTTCGATGGCTGTCCTCATAGGTTTGTTGGGTTGTTTGGTTGTTCGGTTTTGTTGTAACGACTCTACTCTTGGGTTATTATGATAAATTAAAATTTATTCATGACCAAAATTAATTATACACCATTATTGTATGGAGCCAAGTAAACTACTAACTAACACACACGTACATAGTCACCCACGCACATTCTCACACACACACACCCTCGGTAACCTGCCCTCCTCGAATCGCATTCACATTCTATGCAAACATATACACATGATTGACTCTTTCTGCTTGCATGACTGTTTGGCAATATTCAACCACTTGAAAAGTTGAAAAATATATCCACTTCAAAATGAGGCAGGGTGGGGAAAGGGAGGAGGAAGCGAGGAGCAGAGGAGAATGAAAAACTATGCACTTGGTTATTAAGATTCTGTAGCCCGAGAGAGGGGGAGGGACAAACACCATTACAATGATGATGATGCATACTGGCGCTGGTAGGACCGACCTGCATATAAATATGTTATAACCCTTCAATGCATGACTGCCAGCCAGCCTCTCCTGCCCCTCCCTCCATCCCTTCCACCCTAACCAAGGATGTATGTCATTGCAGAATTTTTGCATCCGTCGTCATCGTTGAAATATGAATTGCTAGAAATTTGCTAGTCGTCCTTCGTTGAGTGTTGTAATAAAACACGCACACACACACCACCCAAACACCCCATGGAGGATGGACGAGGGTGCAGAAGAGGAGGAGGGGGTGCTGGAGAACTTAAACAGCACCCCAAAATGTTGCACCAAACCAAACATTCACAAGTAGCTTAAACTTCCTGTAATTTTATGACTACAAGTGTACACACTTGTAAGTAGTTAAGGAGATGAGTAAGCGAACGAACATGCAGAAGAAGAAGAAGAGGAAGCAGCAGGGTGCAAAGCAGAAAATCGGCGAGGGTGTAGTGTAAACAGGTTATTGGTGTGAAGGAAATTGGAGATTGATGTAGGAATTCGAAGGATATCCGTGGAATTTATGGGAAATGTGTATTTTCGTTATCTACATAACGTAGATAATTTATCTATGTTATCTAGATAATCTAAAAAAATTATCTATGATATAGAGATAATAAGGAAAATGTATTTTCATTGTGTAAATGTGGAAGACAACACATCCAATGTCAATGTAAAGCGTCTGTATAATTTATCTAAGCTATGTAGATAAAGCTGATAATGTATCTTCGTTATCTAGATAACAATATGAGATTTCCCGAAAGAATTTTTGTGGATGGATTTAAAACCATTTTAAAGTACAGGTGTATTTTCGTTATCTAGATAACGTAGACAATTTATCTATGTTATATAGATAACCAAAATAATTATCTATGATTTCCAGAAAAGGCGGAAAATGTACTTTCATTGTATAAACGAGGAAGATGACATATCCATGTAATGTAAATCATCTGGATAATTTATCTAAGTTATGTAGATAACGTAGATAATGTATCTTCGTTATCTAGATAACAGTGTGAATTTGACGAAATAATGTTTGTGTATGGCCTTAAAAATAATTTTAAGGTAAAGGTGTATTTTCGTTATCTAGATAACGTAGATAGTTTATCTATGTTATCTAATTTATTTCTATATTCTGGGTATCAACCAGATAAGCTGTAATGTTTAATTTCGTTGTCTAAATGTGATAAATTTGTTTTTACGTTATCTAGATAATGTAGATAATTTATCTTTGTTATCTAAATGATCTAGATAATTTATCGATGATATCTAGATAACGTGAATAAGGTATATATTTCGTCTAGACAACGAGTATAATGTATCTAC